TTTAGCTTGTTGTATGACTTAATTTTATCTTGAGCGAGGCTATGTGATGTCGCCATTTGACTGAATTCTTAGCTCAAATGAGGTAATGTAATGTTGTAATATGGTTTAATTTCAGGATCTTTTGCCACCATTCACTTATGTATACAATGAGGCAGTTTTTATCACCTTATACTAGCAAATAAATAACAAAGAGTCTATTACCAGGATCTTCAGGGGGTGCAGTGGATAACGCACGTGCCTTTTACCAATGTGGCTGGGGTTCGATTCCCTGGTCGAACGCAAAAAACTATGGGGTCACCTGCACGACCATGAGGGTTTTCTCCAGGTACTCCGGTTTCCTTCTACAGTAAGATCCAGCACGCACTAACATCCGAGTCAACAAGAGTGATTGATATAGGTTGTAATAACATGTTTATAGTTGTAAAATAAATATAAAGTTTATATTTTTATTACCATCATACGCTATGGAGGAAATCTTTGGGATCTTCATACTTAAACAAGAATTTCAAAAAGCACATGGCTACATTGGAAGGAGTCATGGAAGGTATTAAACTGTATTTTATGGTAATGAAATTTCCTTGTCTCATGCTTTGTAAAAAGAAAGAAAAAGAATTTTATATTGAATATACAACTTGATTACTTGTTGAGACTATCACGTGTTGTGATGCAGTTTCAGTGTTTCACATAGTTATCTATAACTGTCGGGCCTTTTACTACAGCTGATTGTATATAATAGCAATAACACATTGTTCTCTTTTATGTTTGAGTGAAAAATTTATATCTGAGAAAAATCCAGTACATAACCAACAATAGTTTTGATAATAAAAGGTAGATAAGTTTGTTTTTGTCTGCATTCGCCATCATGGTATTTCATGACATTTTTTGTTAAAATAAAAGGCTAGCTGTACTTTTATTTATTAACTTTGTATTTCATTTCGGAATGAAGTACTGTAGATAAGGTTTTATCTTGAGAACAAAGGAAAATAATATTGGTCGACTGACTAGATGGGTCTGTGTAAGTACTGTACTTTTGGTAGCAGCCTCTATTGCCCTGTGATGTGTTGGAAATAAAGATAAAACCGTCTGCCACAATCGAGTTTTGAAAACCACGTTGTAATTGATGATGTGTTTTAGTGCTGGACCATGAAGTTTACAGTTTGTAATCCTCAACAAGTGCAGGAAGGTGATGTGTACCTCTAAAATGGTCAGGATATAATCAGTGTACCTCTAAAATGGTCAGGATATAATCAGCATGTGATTGCTTGTACCAATCATCTCTCTGTCTGTCAGAGGTCACACAAAGCTCGTAGTCATAGATTTAGAGGTCACAAAGCCTGGGGTTACAGTGTTAAAGGTCACAATTAAAGCAAGGAGTCGGACTGTAAGAGGTCACAAAGTCGGGGGTCACAGTGTAAGGGGTCACAAAGTTTGGGTGCACTGCCCAAAAAATAGATACATTTTGGTGGATATTTCCTTTTTTGGAGCATATCCCATAAACAGATTTAACAAAGGAGTGAATCACATGTCAGAAATGTGTCTTGGTATTTTAAGGTCACCACAGTGTCCATTTTGAAAAACTATTTCAAACTTACAGTCAAGTTCTACTGGGCCGATTTAACTGAAACTTGGTAGGAATGATGGACTCATGGGCCTGACAAAGTGTTAATATTTTTCAGGTCGATCAGAAATCCAATAAGGCCGCCGCGACCGCCATTTTGAAAAACTTTTTCAAAACTTAAAGTCAAGTTCTACTGGGCCAATTTAACTAACTTGGTATGAATGATCGACTCATGGTCCTGGCAAAGTGTTCTTTTTTTTTGGCCGATCAAAAATCCAATATTGCCGCCATTTTGAAAAACAACTATTTCAAACTTTAAATCAAGTTCTAATAGGCCGATTTAGCTGAAATTTACTTAGCTAATTTTTACTCAGATTTCTAGGGATGATTGACATCATTATCTCCTCTCCATATTTCAACAACAAAAATAAATACTGTAGGACGTTAAGGCCCAAGGGCTTCTTGTTACCTTTCTGATTTAAAGTAATTAAGAGTTGCAAGTCACCTAGTACCAATGTCTTTATTTTAAAGTTTCTGATAAATTTCAAGAAAGTCCTATTTGTGACGGGAACGACACCTGAAACATGTACATCTTGTTTCATATTTGCACTTCTGGAGCAAATCTCAAAATTTGTTACAGATTTAATTTTGAGACTAATATTTCATTAGAAATTTCAGTTGCCATGGAAATGATGCCAGAAATCTGTACATTTTGAATGCATACATACATTTCCTGACCAGGATTATAGATTTTATCTTCATAGTTGCGTCAATTCTAATGCAGATGGATGTCATTTGCTATTTTGAGTTTTCTGATTAAGTCATTTAAAAGTTATTCTGGAGGTAGGCGAATAATTACCAAAATTTGTTGTTTTCACTTCAACAGGGGGTGGGATGATGAAATATTGACACCTACTACCTCTTGATAAAATTTCATTTACACCTGAACTTTGCAAATTAAATGGTTTACCTAGTGGAATTAATTAAGTCCACTGGTTATCTGTTAATTCTGTAACTCAATAAGTGGTAATTTTTATCTCACCTGCCTGAAGGGCAATTGAGCATGTCATGGTGCGGCGTCCGTTGTCTGTCCTTCCTCGTCCGTCAACTTTTCCTTTAAACAACTTCTTCTAAAGAACGGACAGGCCTAGAGTCATAATATTTGAAAAGCTTTGTTGGTAGGAGCCTGACAAAGTTAGAGAGCGAAAATTACCTTGACCTACTTTCAAGGTCACAGGGGTCAAATATGTCAAAAACTTCAAATGACTTCTGAAGAACTAAAAGGTATAGAATCTTCATATTTGACTGATGAATTCCTGGGATGGAGCCCAACAAAGTTTGAGAATTAAAATGACCTTGATCTACTTTCAAGGTCACAGGGGTCAAATGTGTCAAACACTTCAAAAGACTTCTTCTGAAGAACTGAAAGGTTTATAATCTTTATATTTGGCTGGTAGCTTCCTGGGATAGAGCCCAACAAAGTTTTAAAATGAAAATGACCTTGACCTACTTTCAAGGTCACAGGAGTCAGATATGTCTACTGATTAAAACAACTTCTTCTCAAGAACTGGAAGGTATAGAACCTTAATATTTGGCTGGTTATTTCCTGGGAAAGAGCCAAACAAAGTTTTCGAAAAAAAATGACCTTGACTTACTTTCAAGGTCACAGGAGTCAGATATGTCTACTGATTAAAACAACTTCTTCTCAAGAACTGGAAGGTACAGAACCTTAATATTTGGCTGGTTATTTCCTGGGAAAGAGCCAAACAAAGTTTTTGAATAAAAATGACCTTGACTTACTTTCAAGGTCCCAGCGTTCAAATATGTCAAATGGTTCAAACTACTTCTTCTGAAGAACTAAAATTCATAAAATTATAATATTAGGCAGGGAAAAGTATGTCAAGCAACTTCTGAAGAAGAATGAAAAGCCCTCTTGAGCGTCTTGTTTAAAAACCTTTAAGAATTGGCTTGGAAAAGTACATGTGGCCGTCGAATAGCAGAAATACTTTCTTAACACTAAAGAATGTAGACGCCTTCCAGGACTGGATTTTGTCTCCATGTGCCCCTGATATATGAGCTCAATGAAATCAGATGTCCCTAATGTTTTTTTTTCTGCTGTCTAATTGTATTTGCTAATTAAGTGCTTTCTTGTGATGTGTCAGTTTGACAGCTTTAAGGGCACGGCTCATGAAAAAAACAGTTACAGAGCAAATGTCAACTTGAGCTAAACCTTTGCATTATTTCAGATGTACATAAAATGTATCATTTCATAATTGATAGATGAATTGTACATTGATATCCAAACTTTTCAGGAATTCAATGGTTAGTTGGATGTCTTTAAAATGCACTAGAATTAAATTTCATTCATTGCACAAATAAGAAAACAATCATTTATCAATATCTACCTGTCCAGGTCCAGGAATAAATTAATTAGAATTGTGAAGTGGATTTTATAGAAATAACTGATATGCTATGACAGTTTATTTCCCTGCAGAAAGCTCCAATTTGATATTCAATTCTTTGGATAGCCAATCAAATATGTTCAAAATCAGGACACACCATGTATCCAGTTCGTCTTCCTCAGTGTTTTAATTATCAGAGCTTGGATATCTTATTTCATTCATTTAAGGACAGGAAACAAGGGAAGCTTACACTGGAATCAAGACAAAATTGCTTGTCAAAATTACTTATCCCAAAGTACTGCAAAGATTTCATTGGAATGTTTTACACTTAATCATAGCATTCCTTGATGCACCTGTTGTTTGAACCTCTTTCTTTTAATGCCGTCCCTTGGAATCTGTTGTTTGAACCTCTTTCTTTTAATGCCGTCCATTGGAACCTGTTGTTTGAACTCCTTACTTCTGTCCCTTGGAACCTGTTGTTTGAACATCTTTTCTTCTGTCCCTTGGAACCTGTTGTTTAAACTCATTCCTTCTGTCCCTTGGAACCTGTTGTTTGAACCTCTTTCTTTTAATGCCGTCCCTTGGAATCTGTTGTTTGAACCTCTTTCTTTTAATGCCGTCCCTTGGAATCTGTTGTTTGAACCTCTTTCTTTTAATGCCGTCCATTGGAACCTGTTGTGTGAACTCCTTACTTCTGTCCCTTGGAACCTGTTGTTTGAACATCTTTTCTTCTGTCCCTTGAAACCTGTTGTTTGAACTCCTTTCTTCTGTCCCTCGGAACCTGTTGTTTGAACTCTTTTCTTCTGTCCCTTGGAACCTGTTGTCTGAACTCCTTTCTTCTGTCCCATGGAACCTATTGTTTGAACTCCTTTCTTCTGTCCCTTGGAACCTGCTGTCTAAACTCCTTTCTTCTGTCCCTCGGAACCTGTTGTTTGAACTCCTTTCTTCTGTCCCGTGGAACCTGTTGTCTGAACTCCTTTCTTCTGTCCCATGGAACCTATTGTTTGAACTCCTTTCTTCTGTCCCTTGGAACCTGCTGTCTAAACTCCTTTCTTCTGTCCCTCGGAACCTGTTGTTTGAACTCCTTTCTTCTGTCCCTTGGCACCTGTTGTTTGAACATCTTTTCTTCTGTCCCTTGGAACCTGTTGTTTGAACATCTTTTCTTCTGTCCCTTGGAACCTGTTGTTTGAACTCCTGTCTTCTGTCCCTTGGAACCTGTTGTTTGAACATCTTTTCTTCTGTCCCTTGAAACCTGTTGTTTGAACTCCTTTCTTCTGTCCCTTGGCACCTGTTGTTTGAACATCTTTTCTTCTGTCCCTTGAAACCTGTTGTTTGAACTCCTTTCTTCTGTCCCTTGGAACCTGCTGTCTAAACTCCTTTCTTCTGTCCCTCGGAACCTGTTGTTTGAACTCTTTTCTTCTGTCCCGTGGAACCTGTTTGAACTCCTTTCTTCTGTCCCTTGGAACCTGCTGTCTAAACTCCTTTCTTCTGTCCCTCGGAACCTGTTGTTTGAACTCCTTTCTTCTGTCCCTTGGCACCTGTTGTTTGAACATCTTTTCTTCTGTCCCTTGGAACCTGTTGTTTAAACTTGTTTCTTCTGTCCCATGGAACCTGTTGTCTGAACATCTTTTCTTCTGTTCCATGGAACCTGTTGTTTGAACTCTTTTCTTCTGTCCCATGGAACCTGTTGTTTGAACTCCTTTTTTCTGTCCCATGGAACCTGTTGTTTAAACTCCTTTCTTCTGTCCCATGGAACCTGTTGTTTAAACTCATTCCTTCTGTCCCATGGAACCTGTTGTTTGTACTCCTTTCTTCTGTCCCATGGAACCTGTTGTTTGAAATCCTTTCTTCTGTCCCATGGAACCTGCTGATCGTATTGCTTTCTTGTATATAATCTTCATAAGACTTTTAGTTTGAACTACAGTTACTTTCCTTTATACAGTGTAAATGAAACTTTTGTTTGAACCAATTTCCTAATACAAGTACCGATGAGCCTCTTATTTGAACCAATTTCATTTGGAATTGTCTTTACATTTAGTTAATTTACACTGAAGTTCAGTTTCAGTAAGGAAAAAAATAATTTTTTGATCAATGTTAAATGTGGTTATCCTCATGGACCTTTTTCTTTTTTTCAGCACAATTGAATTACTTCCCTTTACATGGCTATAACTTAAATCTGTCTGTGGGCTGAGTCAGTATCAGCCCAACAGATACTGGTGATGATTGACATCAACACGCCACAAGTTTGCGATGTCAAAGCAAATTGATCGAAACTACCAGACCAGTGTAATTCAACTTGACTGTGTTCAGGATCTAGGTAAAGAATGTATAGAGTCATCACTGAAGGCGGGTTCCTTTTATCAAGTTCCAGATTGAATGACTTAGATCTGCAGAATTTGATTCCGTATCTGTCATATCACGAGATTTGGTGATGTAATCCGTTTTGTGCTGAAAGCAACTTGCGGGAAGTATAAGGAAGAATGTGAACTTTTTACTTGGGGAGGGAGAGCTGTAGATTTTCTGATAGATTATCATGCATGGCAGATGGAAAAATTGATAAAATCTGTGTGGGGGGGGGGGGGGGGGGAAACATGTCAGAAAGTGACAGTAAATCTAATGATTTTTTATCAAGGTTCTTTTATCGATAGGAAATTAAAGTGTTCAATTGACAAAAATGATTGAAATCATGCTAGACTATTTTTGAAGCATGCTTTAACCCCTTAAATCCAAGGATTTTTTTAATGAAACTACTATGGAATTTTAATTACTTCTGTTTATTTTTTCTCTCTTTCTATCAATATTTTTGGAAAGCAATCATACATTTAAGGAACCTGAAAACATGTACAGTAACTTTTGAAGTTTTCTACAAAATAAAAAATATAAAAAAAAACCTGCGTTATGCATAGGTATTGTTAGATATATCCCTAAAGTGAATTTAATTTTAATGTTGACTGGTTTTGCCTATCCAGTAAGCTTCTTAAGGACAAAAATTGTGTGGTATACTTCCTTGAGGTACAGAACTATAATTGTAGGCACATAGATATATACTCTGCTACATCATGACATCAGTAAAACCATTAAGATCCGTGATATCATCACAAATGAATTTTCATCCTAGAATACTGTGCTTTTATTTGGTAGATTTTAGAATGTCTCAAATTCTTATTCTATCTCAAATCTTTTTCAACGAATTTTGAAAAATTAAATCTCTTTGTTATGATTTAGTCCTTTAAGGAAAATTAATTTGATTCCAGAATGTTTCAATGTATATGTTGTAACTTTTCTGTGCTTTCCAGTAAGACTCTATAAGAAGTGATGACTGTTTTCAATCCTTAAGCGCTCCCTTGTAACATTTTCCCTGTCAGGATTTTAACGATAAGTTTTAAGAGATTTATGATGTTGGTGTTTAAACTTAAGGCTACCATTGTGTAATTCCAGGGTCAAAGTTTGACAGAAAAGCATTTCAATTTTGATTTCATTTCTGATAGGCAAAAAGCCTTCTACTGATACATCACATCCTGTAAATGGAGAGAAAATAGAATATATTCTAAAATCAGTGATTGCTGTTTAAGAGTGTTTTTTTTTCAACGTTTTCACATGATGGTTGTTTGCTGTGTGAACATTTAAACTCCTTCAATTAAATGTTAAGTGGTTTGATTTTCTTTTTATATTTTGACTGAAGAATTTATGCTAACTATTGGAACAAAAAATCATTCACTTGTTGGAAATGGTATAGATTGTTGGGTATCAGTTGCTTGAAACAAACGTAAGGCTCTCTGTCCCACTGCTGTTGCGAGTTGATTAAAACTTAAGGCTCCCTGTCCCACTGCTGTTGTGAGCTGATTAAAACTTAAGGCTCCCTGTCCCACTGCTGTTGTGAGTTGATTAAAACTTAAGGCTCCCTGTCCCACTGCTGTTGACAGGTGATTAAAACTTAAGGCTCCCTGTCCCACTGCTGTTGACAGGTGATTAAAACTTGAGGATCCCTGTCCCACTGCTGTTGTCAATTGATTTTAACTTAAGGATCCCTGTCCCACTGCTGTCGTCAGTTGATTAAAACTTAAGGCTCCCTGTCCCACTGGTGTTGACAAGTGATTTTAACTTAGAGCTCCCTGTCCCACTGCTGTTGTCAGTTGATTTTAACTTAAGGATCCCTGTTCCACTGGTCTTGACAATTGATTTTAACTTAAGGCTCCCTGTCCCACTGCTGTTGTCAGGTGATTTTAACTGAAGGATCCCTGTCCCACTGCTGTTGTCAGTTGATTTTAACTGAAGGATCCCTGTCCCACTGCTGTTGTCTATTGATTTTAACTTAAGGATCCCTGTCAAGGATCCCTGTCCCACTGCTATTGTCTATTGATTTTAACTTAAGGACGCCTGTCCCACTCAGCTGTTGTCAGTTGATTTTAACTTAGGGATCCCTGTCCCACAGGTGTTGTCAGTTGATTTTAGCTAAGAATCCCTGTCCCACTGGTGTTGTTAGTTGATTTTAACTTAAGGCTCCCTGTCCCACTGCTGTTGTCAGTTGATTTTCACCTAAGGCTCCCTGTCCCACTGCTGTTGTCAGTTGATTTTCACTTAAGGATCCCTGTCCCACTGCTGTTGTCAGTTGATTTTACTGGTGTTAGATGATTAGTTTTAAAAATATTATCATTTATTTCATTGACAGATATAGCCAGATTAAAAAGTTGGTCGTGGGAAAAGAAAGATAAAAAGATAGGTAACCCCCAAGCTTTCATTAATGTAAAGGCTTTGGTATGATTTATAGTGCTTCCAGTATATATATATATATATAGTAATCAGACAATCACAATTTCAGTCTAATATAATTTAGTTATAATTTTATACATCACTATTACATAATGATATACCAATATCGCTGAACATGATTGCAATTGATTCAGGCACAGTCTTCACTTTATGGTCGCTGTGGATGACCAGCAGATGCATTCAGAAGATTATCAATGCTGCTGTTAATTTCACTGATACAGTTTTGGCCATGTTCATAATATTCAGCTCTAAATTAAGTAGTCCTGATTATTTTGCTTGCTACATTTGGTTGATAGGTAATATCAGGAACATTGATTTGCCAGATTCAGATATTTTCTCAGATTGTTTAAGTTAGTTTTGGTCTTTAAATAATGATTTTTGAAATATAGTCCTGTATTGAGTTGGTGCATTTCTTGTGGTGTCTGAGAACATGGGTCTCATCACTAGTCTGTTCTGTTACAAGAATTAATGGGAACACGGTCTCATCACTTGACTGTTCTGTAACAAGAATTAATGGGAACGTGGTCTCATCACTTGACTGTTCTGTAACAAGAATTAATGGGAACATGGTCTCATCACTTGACTGTTCTGTAACAAGAATTAATGGGAACGTAGTCTCATCACTTGACTGTTCTGTAACAAGAATTAATGGGAAAATGGCCTCATCACTTGACTGTTCTGTAACAAGAATTAATTGGAACGTGGTCTCATCACTTGACTGTTCTGTAACAGAAATTAATGGGAACATGGTCTCATCACTTGACTGTTCTGTAACAAGAATTAATGGGAATGTGGTCTCATCACTTGACTGTTCTGTAACAGAAATTAATGGGAACATGGTCTCATCACTTGGCTGTTCTGTAACAAGAATTAATGGGAACATGGTCTTATCACTTGACTGTTCTGTAACAGTAATTAATGGGAACATGGTCTCATCACTTGACTGTTCTGTAACAAGAATTAATGGGAAAATATTCTCATTACTGGACTGTTCTGTGACAAGAATTAATGGGAACATGGCCTCATCACTTGACTGTTCTGTAACAGAAATTAATGGGAACATGGTCTCATCACTTGACTGTTCTGTAACAAGAATGAATGGGAACATGGTCTTATCACTTGGCTGTTCTGTAACAAGAATTAACAGTAACATCGTCTTATCACTATGCTGTTCTGTAACAAGAATTAATAGAAACATTTGTATGTATACAACCAATTCAAGTTAATATTACCATCAGCATGGCAATAAAATGCTGTTTATTTCTTTTTTGATCCCATAAAAACATTTCTAGGCCTTGGGGACAGAGGGAAGCAGCTGGCATCAGAAGTCAATGTTATATTTGTGACATTCTCTGTAGAAGTGTATCCAAGTTTTTGTGCCTAGCCTTTCCTGCCTAGGAGGGGGATGTCGGCACTGATTGATTTCTCATCTATTCTTACATGTTGACCTTTCGTAAGATTTATTGTGGTGGTATCAATTTGTCCTTGTTGTAGATAACAACCATAGGGAAATCACTGCTATCTACCTTCAGCTAAATCAATCCGCTTTCTCCCTCTTTATGTAGCCCTGATCCAGATATTATTTCCATGCAATCACCGGTATCAGTACAATCTAAAAATTAAAAATTTGGGTTGAGAAATGTGTCGGTTGTTTCTTTGAAAATGTGATAATATCCGACAATCAATTGGCTAATATCAATTTAGCAGATTTTGACCAACACACACTATTTCAGAAGGAGATGCTGAATTGATTGCTAAAGTGCTGTCACTTTTGGGGTCATCTTTAGGGAATTTTAGGCAAATTCTTCCTGAAACTTGAACAGAAGAATTAAATTGAAACAATTGGTAGTAACACTGAAACAAGGAGACAGAAACTGACCAAGTACTCGTACAGTATTAGGGAAGCAGTTAATCGTTCAATATTTTAGGCCATCCTTAAAATATTTCTTGTTTGGCATTGACCGACCCACCCTACCAGTGCATGGGTCGGTAGGTAGGAAAAATATTTTATTTTATTTGAACAAATATGAAACAATCATTTTTTAAATTCAATAAATTTTGTTTAATTCACTTTGTGAATCAATGTCAACAGCCACTACAACAAGAACCATATAAGTAACTTGGAATGACTAATATGAAATCATAAAGATACCAATGTACTACTCCTATAACATAAGGGGCCGCTGGTCGGCCTTTTTTCTATCAGATTTGATTTTGCCGTCTATAACACTCATTTCTGAAGCACTAATTCTTTGATGCAGGTCCGCCTGAAATCTGGGCGGAACAAAATCGGTTTGAAAAACTCACTTAATTGGTTAACAGTTCATGACAACGATGTCTTCTCACGGTTTATATAATATAGATCTCATATGTATACCACAGAAACAAATATATATCGTATATTACGGAATATAACACTCAAAATACATGTCCATGTCGTTGTAGCACTTAGAACTACAACATGGTTTCCTGAGTTGATACAAAATAGCAGGGAGAATTTCAAACGGAACAAAATACAATTGAGTTTGTTTATATTTCGCTTATAGAACATCACATGTAACCATTTTTGTATTAACCGGAAAATCATGGCAAATATTGTCTGCTTCACTTAGAAAGATGAAAATCTCATTATTTGTGTATTTGACACGAAATTCTTCTTATCTAATTATGGATTTATAGAAAGGAATATTTCTTGGACCCTGTTGAACATTTAAATGTATGTAAACACACTATACTTTTTAAAAATGTGAACTTTGAAAATTTGATCGTCAGCATCGGGAAAATCAGCTATGGGCAGTTAGAGGTTACACGGCGCCTGTTAAAATTATTATGTCAAAAAATCTCGCCGTGTAAAACCTCTAACAATGTTGGAGTATGTCCGTCAGTAGCTGCGATAACGTAGCTTTCTGACAACGAGAGATTTTTTTATATATTGCGTCGTCAGATACCCGGCTGGGGCAGAGGAGGCCGGGTAATAACCCTTGGGCTGCTACATTGATTTCTATGTAAAGGGACACTACTGCTGAATTAATTATTGAAAGATAAATTAATTTACTTGATTTTTCAAATGTGCATAACTTGAAAAATATTTGTTATATGTGAATTAAAGTTATAAGAAAATTGTTCGTTATTGTCTCTAGTTTATATTAACGTTTTCAATTCTAAAGTTGCTTCAGTAGTTACCTGTACAGGTGGTAATAAAGGTAAGAAAATGTGAAACTTTCAATCAATCGGATTCAAGCACCAGAAAGATCATTTTAAAATTATTTTTATCAGCAAATGTGATTGACAAATGCTAACAGAGATTATAAACTTCATTTATGACATAAGACGCTGTACATTTACACAGAGATTCTCAGGTAAAAAGGTCAGGTATTTCATCAAGAATTGCATGCGATTTGCTACAGGTTTCATGTCGTCATTCAATATATTTACTGTCACAGTCGGCATATAGATATATCTTAGCTACGGTCTAGTTTATGATTAAATCATTGATAAATAGTTTGAAGAAATCAATCGGCTCAAAACGTAAAAATGTCAATGTTCAATTCGGCGTCACCTGCAGACGACATGTGCGCCTTGGTCCGCCGATATTTTCATGTTTGCGGAGGGCACAAAGCCGTTCATTGGAAAGTTACATACTATGTTACACCGTTGAAGTATTTCCACATCAACCATGTCAAACCCTCTAAAACCTTTATTATCATCGTAGGTGACGCTGGAGAATAAATGTTTACCATTATATTCATCACTTCAATCTACACGTCTGCCATTTTTATGACAGCAGTTAATATTAGTACTAGTCAGTCAGGTGTTTGTTAGCAGTACGATCCCACATTAAGCGTTTTAATGACATTAGTAGTAGGTAAAACTAAAAAGGAACCAAATTCCGGAATGTTTCGGATTCCGGAAATAGCGATCGTAGATAAAATAAAAAATAATAATTCAGATACGTAAAAAAAAAAATCCAGTCAGGGGTTTATTTTCGGGTCGGTCGGTCAACGCCAAACAAACAATATTTTAATTGAGGCCTTAGGGGTTTAATGTCTTTATTAAATTCCTAATCTTATTTTAATTTTGGTAGAGATTTATAACTTAACCTGTATTTCATAATGTACACTTCATCATCAATTCTGTATTCTTATGTTTAGAGATATTACTATATGTGGGGATTTAAACTAATTCACCCCTGAAATTGCATAGTGAACTTTTCCATCCTTTGAATTGGAAGAGTTTGAATGTGTCTTCAGGGGTGAATGAGTTAATACAAGGGATTATTCTGATGATATTTTGATGGTCTAGATTTCCCAGGATATGTTGGCCTGTAGTGTGTGGGTTATTATATGTAGGAACTAACTATACTAGAGATGATAATAGAATTTAATCAAAAGCCGAAGGTTTTGTTGGGATCTTCAAAACAAGTTATCCACATCCCAGATGTATTTATTGATGAATAGGAGGAAATGCATAATTCAATAAAACATTAAAGCCATGTCAAAAGGTATTTGCTGATTTGATTCATGGTAACAATGTATTCAATGAATGCTTTGCAGACTTTTTAATGGCCGGGAGTGCCTTAAAGCAAGCAGAACATTGCAGCGTTTTGTCTTCGAGTTTGTTTTTCAATTAGAGAATTTGAGAGTCAGTTGTATACACTTCCTATTCTGTTGGTATCAAGGATCAATTACAATTTGAAAAAGTTTTATCAGATGATTAAATTTTAATCGGATGAAGCTGTGTTGATCTATTAGTGGTGAATATCTAAGTGCTTTGTTGACACCGATTCAAGTGTACTTCGTTGGGATGACTATGTCGCAGTATCGAGGTAATTAAGGGTCTCTTGTTTGTTGTTAGGGCTTAAAGTTGGAATGGCTGGTAAATTTGTTCTGCTAATTAGCAAGTAAAAAATGATAATTGGTGATAGACTGTTCAGCTCACTGCTACAAGCCAGAGGATAAACCATTGTTCCCGTTACCCAGATCAGCTTCACTTAATGTTCAATCTGGATCCCAACAGTGTTTGTACGATCTGTGATGAGCTGAAGATAAGAAGCTTTTACGCAACATGGATGCAATTCAAATTCAGGTCAATGAGTGTTCTAAAAAAATGTGAACAAGTTTGTATCCTTTAATTTGCATTGATTTTAAACACGTTTTTGTTATAAAGTTCCAAATTTATTTAGAAATGTTTCTTAATTAAGGCAGCCCCCCGGGTGAAGGAGATTGTGAGGTTAATTTATCTTCATTACAGGAACAGTTAACTTTCCCCTGTGGCCTGCTTTAGGAGAAAACTCAATTCTATTTTTTCCAGTTGAGAGTTCTGCTTGGAGATGTGGGTTTACTCGATTTGGGAATAAAATTGGAGAACTACATACCGAAATTACATGTAGTTCGTGAGTGCAGGTGATCTTGGAACAGTATGAATTCAGTGTTGTCAACCTGAAATGATTTTATTATCAGACTTAGCATTCTGTTATGATTATTAAAATGGCTTGAGTTACCTGTATTTATTGCACCTGACATTTTATCATTAGGTCTGTTAGGATTGTTTGTGTATTATTGTGTCATTCATTATTTAGCTCTGTACATTCCTGATTAAGGTCTATGAAAGGTGGAGTTTCAGTTAATGCTCAATTTTGGGGCTGCGGTGGCCAAGTGGTTAAGGCGTCTGACATTCTGCTACATGTACCACTAGCCCTCCACCACTGAGTCCAAGGCGGGTTCAAGGCCTACGTGGGGCAGTCGCCAGGGACTGGCCATAGGTCGGTGGTTTTTCTCCACCGACTTTCCTCCACCACCAAAACCTGGCACGTCCTTAAATGACCATAGCTGTGAATAGGACATAAAACACAAACAAACAATTAAGGCTCAATTGACAGGAGATCCCTGTTGAACTCACTACTAGAATTGAATACTGTAAAATGTGAATTCAAAACACACCCCTGCTAACCCGCCAACCCTTTTCCACAAATGGAGTTCATATGGAAAACAGCTTGGAATGCATCTTGCAGAATTACAGCAGTTTGAAAATTTGATAATTTATAAACAAAAGTAGAAATATAGGAGAGAGAAAAACAATCACTTCTGGTACTACACTTTACCAATATTGCTGTCCAGGAACTGTTTAAACAACTCATTCACCCCTGAAAACACA